TCAGCTATTGGTGGGGATGAGCACCCTCTAAACTTCCAAGACATGCATTACGAGGGGTATAATTCTTTGCTCATTTTTGCCAGCCTTTTAACCAGATAGAAGATAGTAGAAGTGGTGGAAATCACAGTGGAGAAGGGAGAGGTGTGATGTTGGTCATCGGGACTGCTATCGAACTGGAAAATGTTAGTCCTGGAAAGCACATTAGAAGGTCAAATTCTTCACTTTAGAGAAAAAGAAGTTGAGGCCCAAAGAAAAGGAAGTAACTTGCCCAAGCTGGCTCATTTCCATGTTTCTGCAATTTCCTGGGCTATCCAAGTAAGCCACAGGGAAATGAAAACAATAAGCCTTTTGGCTGCCACTGATTCCCATTGGGCACATATAGATGCTACCGAAGAGTCTGTGGATTAGAGGAACCCTTGGGGTATCTTTGAAATAACAAGGGATTTATAAAATAGAGTTCATCATTTTCCCAACCCAATGCTATGATCAGATCACTTCTTTTCAATGACTCCCCAGTGCCTACTGAATTTAATTTCTTGACTTTGGTATTCAGGGTTCACCACAATCAGGCTACAATCTTCCTGCCTAGCCTTATAGAGACACCACCCAACAGTAGTACAAAGTGCTGGGCTTGCAGTCAAGGAAGAACTAAGTTCAAATCCTATCTCAGACACTTACTAGCTGGGCAAGTCATTTAACTTTCTTTCTACCTCAGTTTCCTCATCAGTAAAATGGGAGGGGAGGTGGAGTCAATAGCCTCTCAGGCTCCATCTAGCTCTAAATCTATGATCCATTATAATCTATACTATACACATCCCTAAGTTCCAGCCACACCCCATTACTCTCAACCACCTGTCCTTATCCAGGTGGTGCCCTGTCATGCCTTTGCTTACATTAGCCCCTCCCTATTTCCATGCTTAGACTATATTCTCCCATACAACCCCATTTTGATCTTTTCAAGTCTGTCAAAGCTCTACTCCTTACACCTCCTCTATGAAGCCTCCATTAACTTTCCTCTCACCTTGGACCATAGGATCATTCAGCTATAGCTGGAAGGATCTTCAGAGCTCATCAAGTTACAGATGAGGAAACTGGAGCCCATAGAGGTGAATGAACTAACTCAAGGTCACAGAGATAATAAGTAGCAAAGTCAAGATCTGAACTCAGGTCCCCTGAAGAGCCAGGGCTCTTCTCACTGTGCCACAAGGAAAATGATTTCTTCCTCCTCAGATTTCCTAGGGAACCTTTTCTGGATCTTTCCTTCTGCCTCTGTCACTTTTTACCTCATATCCTTCTCAGTTGTGTACAACTGGGATACCAAACCCTGCACTGCTGCCATTAAGACATAATCCCCTTGAGAGCAGAGATGGTACCACTTTTTAATCTTCCCATAGTGCAGTGCACATAATGTTTGTTCCATTGAATTTCTGGTTACAGCAAAGTCAGGAAACCATGATTCAAATTCCTTTTCTGACACTTCCTGGCCATATAACTCATTCCATTCTCTACACTCAAGTGGCCTTCATCGTAGATCACTTCTCCCCAGGATCACTGTAATAGCCTTTCATTGGTTAGAGTAGTGGGATAGTATAGGCAAAAGGGCACTGACTTAAGAGTCAAAAGACCTATGTTCACTTGTACCTGTGTGACCTTGAACAAGTCACTGAACCTCTCTGGGCCTCAGTTTCCCCAGGTGAAAACGAGAGGATTGAACTACAAAGCCTTTGATGTCCTTTCCAGCTCTACATCTATGATGCCATGATCCCTCTCCAGTCAGCCCTCCCCGTAGCTGCCAAATTGGCATGCCTAAAACCAAAGTCTGCCCATGTCAATCCCCTTCTCAGTAACCTCCAGTGGCTGTCTCAAACTCTTTTGTTTGGCATTTAAAGCCTGTCAAACCTAACTTTCCATCCTCATTATAAACTTTCTCCTTTATTCAACACACCTCATAGTCCAATGAAAAGAACTCTGGCATCAGAGAGGATGAACTCAGATGTTGTACCTGTCCCTTATTACCTCTTTTGGGCAAGTTGTTAACCTTCTGTACCTCCATTTCCTCCCAGTCAGCCTTTCAGGACCCTCCTAGTTCTAAATCTATAAAGGTGTGAGTTAGGACTGTGGTCTCTAAAGAGAATCACTGACCTATTCATCCATGAATACATTTACATACTGAGTTCAGGAGGCTGAACGCCCAAATACCTAAAACAAACTGATTAGTGCTGCCCTGTTGCAATTAAAATTCAAAATTAATTCCTGAGAGCCCAGCACACCTGAAATGCATATCATATTTTTAAAGCGAGAGAGAGGGACAGAGGTTCAGTCTCTTCAGTACATGCTTGAAAGCACTCTCATGAACAAA